CCCCCGGGACCCCCGCCGGGGCCCTGGGGCCGGGGCTCGACAACCCTGGTGTGGGCCCACCATCTCCCATTTCTGCAAGTTCATCGAGAGCAATGGAGCGTTGCGGAGGTCCGTGAAGTGTCCGAAGGCGGCGGAGCGCTGACTCGCACATCGGAGGCTCGCGCAGAAGGCAACGGAGATCTCGCTCGCACATCGGAGGTTCGCGCAGCATCGGAGCGAAGTGACGAGCATCCACATCGAAGGCATCAGCGGAGGCCTGGGAGAACGGTAAACCGCCCTGAAGCAACCACGTGCTGCCACGTGGCATCTTCGCCCATGCAGAGGCCGCCAGCGGAGGCCTGNTGCAGAGGCCGCCAGCGGAGGCCTGGGAGAACGGTAAACCGCCCTGAAGCAACCACGTGCTGCCACGTGGCATCTTCGCCCATGCAGAGGCCGCCGTCGAGTCGAACTCGACGGGGGCATAGTCGAGTCGAACTCGACAATGGCCCGGGGTCATCATCGAGTCGGACTCGACAATGGCCTGTGTTTCATCGTCGAGTCGAACTCGACAATGGCCCGGGGTCACCATCGAGTCGGACTCGACATCCTGTGGTCATCGTCGAGTCGAACTCGACAATGGCCCGGGGTCATTGTCGAAGCGAACTCAACAATGGTCCGGTGTCGTCGTCCAGTCGGACTCGACAATGACCACAGGCCATTGTCGAGTCGAACTCGACAATGGCTTGTGGTAAATGTCGAAGCGAACTCGACAATGGCCCGGGGTCGTCGTCGTGCCGGACTCGACAACGGCCTTTGGTCATTGTCGAATCGAATTCGATAATGGCCCGGTGACGACGTCGAGACGGACTCGACAACGGCCTGTGGTCATTATCCAGTCGGGAACGACAAAGAACACGAGTTATTGTAGAGATGGAATACATGACGGCCTGTGGTCATTATCCAGTCGGGAACGACAAAGGACACGAGTTATTGTAGAGATGGAATACATGACGGCCTGGGGTCACCGTCGAGTAGGATTTGACAATGGCCAGGCTGTCGCCATCAGTCGTCGAGTCGAACACGACGGCAAGGAAGCGCCAAAGCCTCCGGCCACTGTCGAGTCGGACTCGACGATGACCCCAGGGCGTCGTCGATTTCGTCTCGGCATTGTCGAATCCGACATGACGATGGACCAGCGCCAAGTCGTACGACCGACGTCGAGTCGAACTCGACAAATGCCCGGGGCCGTTGTCGAGTCCGACTCGATGACCACGGTCCGTTATCGAGTTCGACTCGACAATGGCCATATGACATGCCGTTGCCGATGTGTTGGACTCGATGGCCCCATGCTGGCCGCTGTCGAGTTCTACTCGACGACGGCGTGCTGGCCATTGTCGAGTATGAGTCGACGGTGGCAAGCCGGCCGACGTCGAGACAAGCTCTACGAACTCGTCCGCCGGCAAGAGCCAAGGCCTTTGGCCATCCGTTTGAGCTCCTCGATTGTCCGTCATCGGCCTCGTCGCGAGGAACGCGACGATGGATAGCCGCCGATGGAATTTGTCGTTCTGTGTGTTTTCTTCTTCTGCTTTGGGAATTCGCAATGCCTGGTTGTTGTGTGTAACTGCGATGGCTCCTCGGTGTGTGAGCGCGTTCGACCTTAGCAATGGCTCCCTGTTGTGGTCGTCAATCGTCTGTGTGTGTAGGACGTATGCGATGGCTCACCGCTTCGATTACTCGTTCCCTTTGAATGCTAGCGCAAGGTACCTGCGAGGTTCAAGGCGGGAGAGAACTATACTTGGGGCCCATAGAGAAGACTTCGACACGGATCCTTGGATGAGCGTTATGCCCTGGCTTGAAAAACCCTTCGATGCATGGTTTGAATTGGACTGGGAGAACACAATGAAAGACTGCCCTTGGGCATCTGATTATCGACTAGCATCCAGCTAGAAATGGGGGACATTCATCTTCCTCGACCACATCCTCGTGACGAAACACACGCCGGTGTTGTCTGCGGCATTTCGTACCACGACCGGTCTTTGTGGTTGACTGCGCACAAGGTGATTTGTCCACCGCGATTGTGGGGCCCATCGATGAAGATGGAGTTGCTGGACTGCGCGAAACAGAACCAGTTTCTAGAGGAATATCCCCTTCCTTTCCAGGACAACTTGACGGGGAGTGTGTCGTACTTCTGCGTACATGTTGATCTCTGTTGTTTTTCTTTCGCTAGGGTTCTTTGTGTTTCGGTAAGAAATAGAAGTAAGACTTCAGCAAAAGCGAGTATTTACGTGTCCAAGAACGAGCTCATCGTTGACGGGGACTCGATTATGTTAACGCATGGTTGGAGGAACGGTAGGTTTGACGTGAAACTGGCGGGGCAGGTCGATACACCCCGACATTGGGAGGAGGTCGAGGAGTACGTGAAGGTCATTAGAGACGCCATCGGTCGAACTTTAGCGAGATCATGTGGTTTCGTCCGTGCACGATACGTGTCTTGCTTCTCCTCCACTGCAACCCTGTGCAGTCCACAGCTCCTGACGTACGGTTCATCCCTGAACGCAGTGTAC